AACTCCGAGATAGTTCAGACAGCTCTGGGAAACGCCAAGTCACGAGCCAGCCAGACCTTTCAAACTCAGAGGAGAGTGGTGGCACCAGAAAGCCCTTCCATACTGCACCCCTCAGCTTCATAGCCACTGCGACCTGTGTATACCAACACACAGAGGGGTTTGTACCTGGTTTTTAGAAAACCAGTGCAAGTGAAAAGTCCAGACACCGAACCTGATCCAGAATCCCGATCAGAGGGTTGGTGAGGGGTCTACTCGTCCTGACTAAAAACGGCAGGTGGATACTTGGGTACTGAGGGATTTTATTTCATTTAAGAAAAGTTCAGCCGAAGTGAAAAGCCTTATAAAGCCATTTAAGCTGAAAACAAGGTCTGGATTCAGAAACTGATTGCTCCTTACTCATTGTTTTGAAACATTTCACAACAGTGATTACAAAGTGTAAGAATGCTTTTAGAAGTTATTATTGATGTGAAAGGATGACAAGCTCACCGTTGTGTTGTGGCTTCTTTTCCTAAAGGGGACCACAAATTTCGGCGAAAGGAACCTAGTGGAGAAAACGTTTTGTGTTTTCTACAGAGAACAAAACTGCTGCTAAAGCTGTGGAAACTGACATGGAAAATGACCCAGTGTAGCACGGTACTCCACAAGAGCATCTCAAAATGCTTTACAATACAACAAAAGAAGTACACTTCCATGAATGCTATATACCTGTCCGAGGTATATTTTCTGATGCCACATAGTGGGGGGGTTTCCCTTTAAGAAATTATATCCCAGTTAGAATAAAACAAACCCTTTCTTTTAACTGTTCTTTTCAATGTGTTCTATATATACAACCCTTAAAATACACTTAAAAATAGCTGCACACATTTTGTATCATTATACTAGAGAAGGACAGTCCTGACAGACCATGCTTCTCAGTATGTTAAAAACTGTAAATAAAACCCAACCAGACTTGCTCTCCTCTAGTACCCACACTGGCCCAAAGGAGGGGAGGGGAGGGAAGGAACAAGCAGTTTTAAAATGGGAGTCTTTCACAAAACACGCTACTTACAAATCTCAGGTTAATTTCCTCAAACAGTTTTGTATCAAATCCTTTCTTAAACACGTAAGGTCACGCACTGCCATCTTAGCAATGAAATCTGTTGAAAAATGCATGTGTGAGCTTCCCACTAAACCAACTGCAACCCTGAGGATTTTTCTGGCCTGGTAGAGAGAGGAAATGGAACACAATTCCTGAAGTATGGCTGGTCCTCCATTTCAAAACTCCATGTGATCCCCTCGATGGTTCTTGGACACACACCCACACTTTTTTGGTTTTCCTTTAATACATGTTTCCCTCTAACCAACATGCAGATTTCTCCTCCCAATCATCCACGTCTCAATGTCCCAACAAAACAATCCACATCATCCATCCAGAGGTTTTCCCAGGTAGACCAAAGTCACTTCTGTGTTACCATACACAGCAGACACTGCTGGATACAAACAAACTTTTGGCAGTCCTCTGAAGGCTACTCCCAAGAACTCATAGCCCCTCTCAAATGCTAATGTTTTGTCTTCCATGTCCAGGATAACTCGGATCCTTTCACCTATCTGGAAAAAGAGATAGAAGGGGAGGAATTAAAACATAGAGTCAGCATATTCAAGTATAGGCACAAAAGTGAAGCATAGGCCACGTACAACACAACAGGTAATTATAAAGCAAGGCTTTCCTGTTTCTCATGATTGCATTATTTTTAGGACAGGAATTTCTCCATTTTGCTCAAATGCCCTAGGATCCCAAGTACCTCTGCTGCCCTTTTCCAGCAGGCAGCCTGTATGTAGGCACCAACCTACATGATAGTAAACGTAACCCTTCTAGTATGAACCTTGTGAGAGCACCCAGAGTGAGTATACTACATGTCATGTGCTTTAGAATGCTGCAGAGGTTTGGAAACCTTGCAATGGCCTCCAAGTTACTTGAACTCTGGATTTAACTGTTGCTATAGCCAAGCAATTGCTCCATGAAGAGCAATTTTAAAGACAATGAACTTGTTTTACACAGGTAAGTGACATATATGAAACATACTAGAATACACTACTATGCAGGTGCTTGTCACCTTGCCAAGGCAGCAGAACATATATACATACACACAAGTGAAACCAACACTGAACACAGCAAAAGACTCAGATCTAGGCATGCACAACGGTCCCTGCATTTATCTAGTACACACTATTTTAGGCATAAACAGAAGTCCCAGACACCAGCAGCAAGCACAGCAGGACACCACACAAACTTCTGTTCCTCACCAGCCAGCCCCAATGCTGGGGATTTCTTCCAGCCAACACATTTTTCTTCTAACCAACACTAACAAACTCCTTTGAGTATGTTTTCTATGAGCACATCCCTGCACATGTCTTCATAACAAAAACTCCAAAGGATCACCAATTTTGAGAGAAAGCAGCGACTATGTTCACCCTTGAGTTCCCACAGAAGCTGGGGACTCTTGGCTTCGAAACCTTTCCTCACCCTTTTGTTGCAGAAAGACCTAGACAAGTACAGCAGAAAGCAAACACGAAGGAGCAAGTCTGTAAAGTGCCTACCCAGTTTGCACGCTAGGGAACATGCAAGTGGAAAGAGATCTAAATCTCTTTCATTACACTAATTTTAGATATTATTCCCCAAACAGCAGTTATAGCCTTCAGACAGAATTAACTGCTTGACAGTGAACTCTTACATGAAATTTAGAAACATCAGATACAAGTTACTCCACAGATCTTCACCCAAATTGAAACATTAGGCAATACTCATACAAAGCCACAGCATTGTGAGATAGAAATTATAATACATGCAGCTCAAGTTGGTAATTGAGGAAATCCAGCAGTCAAAAAGTAGTTGTCAGCAGCCAGAACAAAGATAACACTTCTACAGGAACAGAAACGTGGAACGGCACTTGCTATTTAACAACCTGAAATTATCTGAACATCATATCCCAGCATCCTAGGCAAGCGATGTCACCTATGGGAATGCTGCCAGCGAGCAAACAAGCAACATTCAAGTCAGCATTGCTGCAGGTTTTTGCAGAAAGACTCTCAAATAAGCACTACCCTCTGCTCACACTGCCATACAACAAAGGGATAAAATACCACAGACTTTCACCTTGCTGTGGGGCAAGTCATTACTTCGGAAGACTACAACAGCCTTACCAGCTTTTATTTCAAAAAGCAACATGGTGACTAAGTAGACACTCACAGTATGTGCCTCACACTCAGTACCTGAGACAGAAGTTCAGAAGCAGACGGTCAGGTGTACTGAACACCATATACAGGTGTAGTCTGAGCAAGCAGTAAAGGAAGGGGGAAGGCCTTGCAAGGCAGAATCATTTGCCCTTCTATAGGAAAGGTGAAGAAACCCTTAAGTGGGTATTTGGCACCAATTCAATAGACAGCCAGGACATGGGAGGGAGGAGGTTCCTGGCAAGCCACAGTGAGACACGGTAGAGTTTCCAGCCCATGCCAAGCCCCGCTCACCTGGTATTTGGGTGCGTTATTGCACTGGGGGAAACTGCCATTCACCTCTCCATTATGCAGCAAGTTATTGTCCACCAGGTTCCAGCCCCAACTCTGGTCATCGCTCCCCAGCAGGGCCACGTAACCCTGGCACTGCATGGCCGCCCGCTTTGTGGCGATGCCAATGACGGCCACGGTGCCCAGTGGGCCTTCCCACCACACCTCCCAGGCGTGGCGGCCCTCACTGAAGCCGATCTTGGTCCGCGCCCCATCCGTGCTCTGGGCGATGGGGTTGCGGTGCAGCGTGAAACCATTCTTCTTGATGTAGACGTTCCGTGAGCAGTCGTTGGTGCTGAAGGCGTGGTGGAAGGCACGGACCTACGAGAGAACAAGAAGGAAGGCAGCAAGGGAGATAAAAACCCGTCATGTGTTTCAGGGCCCCCGCTTGGTTTCCAGTGACGGTTGGGCCAGGCGGCCAGGGCGGCATCCCCGTGGGGCCGGAGAGGGGTGTCCCCGAGGGGCCGGCCTCACCTTGCCCTTGTAGGTGGGCACGTTGCAGAGGATGTCGGTGCGCAGGGCCTCCTCCGCCAGGCAGCGGGCCGCCAAGCTGCGCCACACCTCGCTGTTCTCGTCGCCGTGCAGGACGCGGTGCCACAGCTTACAGACCAGCGCGCAACTCCTCAGCTCGCGCAGCTCCAGGTACGAGAACACCAGCTCCAGCACACGCCCCGGCAACCGCCAGCCCGGCCCTCCCGCCGCTGCCGCCGCCCCTCCGCTGCCGCCGCCGCCGCCGGGGCCCGCCGCCATCGCCACCGTGCCCGTTCCCGAGCTCCCCGCGGGCGGCGAGCCGGGACGCGGGGGCCGCGCTGCCCCTCCCCTGGCGGGTGACAGCGGTGGCGGCGGGCCCCGGCCCGGGGGCGCTCCCCGCCCGAGGCCCTCACAGCGAGGGGGCGCGCGCGCCCGGCGCCGCCATCACCGCCGCGGGCACCCCGCCCCGCCCTGCCCCGCCCTCCGCGCATGCGCGGGCCGCGAGCGGCCGGCGGAGGGGAGGTGAGGCGAGGCGGCGTGCGGGGTGCTGGGGGGCCCGGCGGGGCGGGGCGGGACGGGGCGGGCTCGGCTTCACACCCCCCTCCTCGGCTGCCGGGGTCCGGTCCGGTGCGGGGCCGGGCCTTGGAAGGCAGGGACGCGGCGACCTCCGGGCCTGGAGCAGTCGCCAGAGCTGCGTGCGCTCCCCCGAGGAGCTGGCGTCCCGGCGCGGCTGTCTTCCTGGATCCCGTGGTTCGGGCCTACCGGTGTGAGGGGACGCGGGGCGAAAGAAGTTACCTCCGTTCCCGGCGTGCGAGAGAATCCGGTGCGAGTGTGCGACCCGAGTGGCGAGTAGGGTGTCCGGCGCTTTCCGTAGTTTATTTAATAGGTGCGACTGAAGTTTTCGTGGTGGAGTGGGTGAATTCTAGCTGCGGTTGAGATTGACAAAAAACACAGGCAAAAAGCACGGTAAAAATAAGTAGATAAATCTTTTATTGCCTAGCAGTGCAGTGAAACCGTTGATACCGAGGCAGTGCTGTGGTTGCCAAAGCTGCTGCAGGGACAGCCATAGCTGTCCCACAAACCTATCTTGGTATTAGCTCTCCTTTTCCCCCACTCCAAAGCTTGTTTTGCTTTTGTGTTCCTTGGGATTTTTCCCCCAGTTACTTTTTTGCTGATTCGGTGCCCTGAACAGCCCTGTCACATGGGGTGCTGTGGGTGGTTTTGCCGAGGAAAGGACCCTGTGAGTGGTAAACTCGATGGGTGTGCTTTGAGACCCAGTTAAATGTGTTGCAAACCTGGTCACTTCCTGCCTCAAACCGGTAATGCTTTTTTAAAAAGATGACATTGTTGAGCTGTTTATGCTTTGGTGTTTACCAGTCACAAGAAAATTACCTTTACTTTGGGAACACAGAGTACACGATTTAAAATATATTCACGCAAATGTATGCTTTAAACTGTAATTAAGGCAGCTACTTTATCCCACTCACACCAGTGGGGGTTTCTTTCTTCACGTATTGTGAGGCTGCTTTACAAACCGATGTTAGGTACCGACTACCCAGCACCTCCACAGCTGGGTGAAAGACAGATGTTTGCATGTGCTCTCACACAGCTGGAGCAATGTGACTCCTCTGCAGACTGACTTTACCAGTTTTCGGTCTTCCCCATGCTCCTTTCCAGTACCTCCCATTAGGACCTGTGCTGCCTGTTTTGTTAAGTGTGCTATGTCCCTGTGTGCTGAGGAAGCGGCTTTCACGTAGGCAGCCACGTCAGGGAAGGTCTACTCCCTGTACTGCACAGGTACGTGTGCTAGCACCACCGTCATTCCAAGCTGGTATTGCCGATGTTGGTGCTGTTTAAGCAACACTTGGCTACTGGTCGTAAAGATGCCTGTTTTAATTGGACACTAGAGTTTCAAAGTAGTTTACATTATAGTCCATGGGATGATCTTGTTGCTTTGATAAACTTTCTCCTGTAGTGAGGCCAACACCGTCTGAATTCAGGGTTTTTTGTATGTTTCTTGTTTCAGAGGTGTCCCTGAAACATGGCAGTCAAATGGATTGGTGGGCATTCATCTTCTATATTGTGCTTGAACGTAAACTCGGAAGGTCTGGTGGCTTCAGGCGCAGAGAGAGGCGAGCTAACGCTCTGGGATGGGGGAGGCACTCCGGCAGGACAGCTCCAGCTACCAGAGGTAGATGACGTGACCTCCGTGGTGTTCTCTCCCTGCTGTCCCACCAGGCTGTACACTTCCCATGGAGAAACTATCAGTTTGCTGGATGTCCGATCCCTCAAGGAGCCTGTTGAACGCTTCCATGTGAATGAGGAGGAGATCAACTGCCTCTCAGTGAATGAGACTGACAGTTTCTTGGCTGCAGCAGATGACTCAGGGGCAATAAAAGTTATGGACTTAGAAAACAAGAAAGTCACCCGGACCTTGAGACACTCAAACATCTGTTCCTCTGTTGCCTTTCGACCTCAGAGGCCTCAAAGCCTTGTTTCCTGTGGACTGGACATGCAGGTGATTTGCATACAAGTAGATGGTTATTAGAGAAGCAAAATGGTAACTATTCACATGTGCAGTGAGGCACCAACAGACTTTTGCCCAGAGTGAGAGTATGCAGCCTGCAGTCACCAGAAAGTCCCGTAAACATTCTAACATAGTTTTTGTGGAGAAACTAAGTGTTGAGATTGTTTGTGCCATTTTCTACTCAGGAGTTCTTCTCTCTGTTTTTATCTTCTTTAATATTTACAATTTAAAAGTGAGCAGGGGGTGAGGAAAATCAGAATATGGTCCAAAGCATGCTCATGCCACATTAGCTCCCTGTTGGACTGACCAAAATCAGAAGCTGTCCCTAGCGATCAGTTATGGCTGCAGATGAAAGGCAGATGATCATTAGGAAAAGGCAAAATGCTTGAAGCATACAGAAAGCTAGCAAGAACACAGGTAGATAAATATCTGTCCAAGTGTTATGTATCATGTCAGGACAAGTCATTTTTATAACTTATCCTTTGTTCTGATTAACCTCTTGGAAGCATTAAATATTCTTTACCTTTTATGCATCTCTATCCTCATTAAGAGGAAATTTGTCCTTTGCACACCATTTTGCATGAAGGTTTTGTTTTTTCCAGAAGTTCCTTGGAAGCAGGAACAATGCTGTGAGGACAGAAAATACTTAATTTGCAGAAAACTTGTTAGCGCAGTGCTATCTGCTATGAAAATGGGATTATTTGCCTTAAACATTAGGACCCAGCCTCTCTGCTTTTATGTGCTACACACAGTCATTATGGGAAGTTTTGCCATTCATCAGATCAAAATAGTTTTAATGTAGTGGCAACAGCACTCAACTAAATCAGAAAAGTGCCAGGAACCAACGTATTTTGAATGTCTTAGGTGTGATTTGGATTCCAGAAACACAGAAGCAGTGTGTAACTCTTTTATGGCCCAAATTTAAAGACTCCTGTACTTTCTCCTGGAGTTTACTAGTGGAGGAATATTTTTATTAATAACAAAGTTTTGATTAAAAAAAATAAAACAGCACACCAGTACTTCGTTAGACTGACTTGTGCTTTCATATCTGTTGACCTTGAAACTGCTCATAATCAATTCAGATCTTAGCATTGAGAGAATTATTTTTAACTGGCACAGTATAAATCCATAGTCACTGAAATGCTAAGTGAGACACAGGATTCATTTGGAGGCACAGTTGTTCCATGAGGGACTTGGAGGTGGTTGGGATTTTAAAAGCAAGTCTAAAGCACAACCCCCTCCCCTCTCATCAGGAAAAGAATGCCCTACCTCAATATGGGCATAGCACAAACCAGATCTATTCATTGAATATAAAAAAAACAACAACCCAAAGATGTCTGTTTAAAAATGCGGGCCTGAACTACTGTTTGCCTTTTGCTGTACCATTTATCAAGCGCATTTGTGGAAGTGATTATTTTAGGACAAGTAGATGGCAAAGGGAAAACTAAAATTCAGATCTTTCTTAACTGCTAGCGTTTCTGCATCTCTCCTTTTAAATAATTGATAGGGAGTATATTATGATTGCTACTGCTGAGATGAATGCAAAAACATTTAGAACAGCTCTTTCATCCATTCTGTGGTCTGAGTCATTGACCCTGCTGAGTAGGGCGGTATGAGGGTTTGGAAAGCATGCTGTCAAGATCAGCCAGATTTATCAGGTAAAGTTCACCCACTCCTCACAACACATCTTTCATCCCTTACACTCGTGCATGGTCTTTGCTCTGCTAAAGCAAGAATCACAGACTGGTTTGGGTTGGAAAGGACCTTAAAGATCATCCAGTTCCAGCCCCCTGCCACAGGCAGGGACAACTTCCACTAGACCAGGTTGCTCCAAGCCCTGTCCAACCTGACCATGAACACTGCCAGGGATGGGGCAGCCACAGCTTCTCTGGGCAACCTGTGCCAGGGCCTCACCACCCTCACAGGGAAAAATTTCTTCCTAATGTCAGGTCTAAATCTCCCCTGTGTTGGCTCAAAGGTATTCCCCCTTGTCCTGTTACCACATTCCTCTGTCAAAAGTTTGTCCAGATTTCTTGTCAGCCCCTTGAGGCGCTGGGAGCTTCTCTAAGACTCTTATCCAGGCTGAACAAGCCCAGCTCTCTCAGCCTGTCTCCACAGGAGAGGTGATCCAGCATGAAGCCTGGTGGTTTAATTTTACAGTTAGTGAAAGATCTGATCTTACGTAAAATGGATAAATTACTGATTCATACTTTTTTTTTCCAAGGTTATGCTGTGGAACCTGCAGAAAGCTCGCCCATTGTGGACCACAAACCTGCAGGAGTGTGAAGCACAGGAGAAAAGTCCACAGTCAGCTGGCCAGTTCTTCAACCCGCCACTTGCACATTCCCTGTCTGTTGCATCCTGTGGCAACCTCTTTGGCTGCGGAGCTCAAGACGGTAAAGTCAGAATATTTAGAGTCACTGGTGTCAAGTTTGAATGTGAGCTGGAGTTTCAAGGTCACAGCTTGGGAGTATCGCAGGTCCTCTTTATGCCAGGAGCATACTGGTTGCTGACTGGAGGAAATGATGGGAAAGTCTTGCTTTGGGATGTCAACAGTGACATTGGAAAGCAGCTGAAAAGTCCGGCAAAATCGCTGCAGAGGAGGAAGGCCCATGCACCTGCTTCCACCAGAAAAGATGGGAAGCTCAACAAAGTGACTTCAAATGAACATACTAGAGTTTTACCAAAGGTAACCATTGAGCATGGAGAGAAGGTGAACTGGATCACTTGTGCAGAGATCAAAGGGTCCAAAAGGGTATTAGTTGCTGATCAGAGTAGTTCTGTATCTATGTATCCATTGCCAGAACACTAGACACTGAGATGTTTAAAGAAATTTCAGGGCCAAAGCCACTTCTCAAGAGTGTTTGAAAGGAGTCCAGTTACACGTTCTGACAGTGAACTGAACAGTAAAACCTGCCACATCCTTCAGAAGGGGAAGGGATTTGCTGTGTACTCACACAAGTACTCGTAATGTAACTGGCTTCACACAATGTTTTACAGCAACTGTTGGTATTCACTGCAGCTGTTTTTTACAGGGTTGGCAGTTTTCTTCTTGAATTTAGGTAAAACGGGTTTCAGTATATTTAGAGGTAATATTAGTTCATGACTAAGCTGACATAATTAAGGTTGGAGGAAGAAATTCACACTAATGGGGATGCCCACAATGCTGAATGATGCTGAGCAGTAATAAAGATGCCACTGACTGAACCACTTGCACCTTGAACTATTGCAATGCTTTACATTACTCTCCCCTGCTAAACTGTGTCATGGCTTAAGTGGAAATACATTTTTCATTGGTCAGCAGCTGTATATAAGACTAGAGAAGCATCAACTAATGAGTAATCTATTTAGTTTAACTGTCATTGCCAGTTGTTTTTTTTTTCACACTGCAGTAAGCAAAGGAGCAGGGGAAATGTTAACATCTGTTTATGGGGTCAGCTGTCTTATGCATTTAGTTGTCTATCCCAGGGAAGAATTACTATTACACTTGTCTTAATAAATGCTTTCTCTCTCACTGCTCTCTTGTGCTTATACTCACTGTAATATTGCCAGACTTACACACAATTGTGTCAAGATGTGTGTCGTATACCCCATCACAGGGGCAACATGAAAGACCAAGGGCATGGCTCCCCCTTACCTGAGTACTTCCACTGTCTTCCCAAAGCTTTAGAAACACAACGAGCAGAACTTGGCGTGTTAGAAATGCCTCTTGATTTGCAAGGTGCAGGTGGGGAGAATGTACTAAGTAGGAACACAGCAGCTTTTCACATGTTCAGTTCATGCTGGATTTCCCATGGAATGGGCAAATAACTAAAAAAAAGTTGTGCTTTTTTCTTCCTTGGGCTGTCCTTAACCTTTCTCAAAGTGGAATGCCTGGTACTGGCTAAAGACCTGCTTCACTGCTGTGGGCTTTGGGCTGTCTTGTTTCACCAAATGTGCTGTTACCAGATGCATGTTATCTATCTGCTTTTTTTGGTTTTCTGGATGGAAAAATTTCCAGCTCTTTTTTTGCTCCTGAAAATTCATTACCCACTTGTGCTGGCTGTCCTTCCTGTATGGAAGAGCTTCCAACCATCTTGGTTTTGCTCAAAGCAGCTCCCTGCAACCAAACACAACTCACTCTCATCCAGATCTTATTTTACCATCATAGCTTTCAAAAAACAACAAGAAAAAAGGGCAATCTGTTTGTGCAGACTTTAACAGCAGGAGAATTTGGCCCAAGACATGAACTGTGGGTGGGTGCTACAGCAAAATGAAGCCAAAACACCGCAAAAAAGCCAAATAGTGTAGGTAGCCCTCATTTCAGAATTCATTTATGTATGAAGACAGACAGGACCAGTGGGTCAGAGGAAGTGGTCCGGATGCTTAGTTCAGTATGTGATACGTTCATGAGCATGTCTCTGTGCATCTATGACCTATATTTGGATATACGGTCTATAAAAAGCCTTGGTACAAACAACCTCCCGCAGGAGTCAGATCCCCTGTCCTTGTTGTTGCTGCCTGCTTCGGGAGAAAGAATCAAGCCCACTCCAGCTTTTATTTCTTCTCTTCGTGCTTTTCCAGAAGATGGCTAAAGCCAGCATTTCCCTGCGCTCCCTGAACGAGACGTTAAACAGGTCATTAAAGGGTTGTGCTGGCACTGTGCTGAGGGACAAGGAAGGACAAGGGGCAGGGGAGAGGAGAAAGGGCTATGTGTTAGAATGACAAGCCTGTGCTTCCTTTGCCATTTTGATGGGTGATTGGATGTAAATATACATTGCGTGTATATGGGAAGGGGAGTAGTTCATGGGCAATATTGTGTTTCTCCTTTAGTCACTGGGGAGGAGGGGTGAATGCCGTTTTGGCCAGCCTGCAAACTGCTAGTCCTGGCTGTTCACTGCGGGATTTGCATAATTGCTCCATCAGCAAAAGCCTGTAGCTGCATGAAGTGTTGCTGGGTGATTATGAGTAACGGGAAATTCAGGTTCACACTCTAATATTGTTGTACATGGGAGGTTTGGGATGAACAACTGAATTCAGGAAAGTGCCTCGGAGTCTGGAGGGTTCAAAGACAGGAAGTGCTGATTAACATTAACATCCCCCTTCCCCTGAGAGCAGACCTTTCTTAGAAGTTTTAAGAAGGGAGATCAATGTTGCTGAGGAATTGGGACATAGGTGAAATGGATTCACCCTCCATTTTCAAAGCTTGTACTTGGAAGAGGAAGACTTTACCGACAGGTTCATTGGCTTCACAGGCTCCAGCCTCAGCTGTCCCTGCTGGCACCAGTCCACGTGTTCAGCTGCAGTGCGACAGCGCAAGTCACTTGTAGATGGTGTCTCTAACCAGATGCGCAACAATTGCAGGATCAAATACAAGCCATAAGCCCAGCTCTTCAGGAAAAAGAGTTGGAAAAGGGTCTGAAATTTTCCAGAGTCTTCCCTCTTGATGGATTTTCACATAGGGATTTTCATATACTCCCTTTAACATACTCCTGTGCACTTGGTATCAAGCAAATTTTTAAGTCAGCTTAGGTGCCACACATATAACTCTGGTTTACCTGTAGTTAAAATGATCGTTGTCTATTGAGAGTATCACAGCTGATAGAATGCAGTACTTCTGCTTATGAAATTAGTGACCAGTCAAGATACTAACATTGTTCACCAACGGCTTTTGTTACTCCAATTCACCACAAAAAAACCCAACCCGAACCTAGAGACCTGACCAGAGAGAGAAACAGAAACATGGGAAACACTCCTGAACTTAAAAAGTGAAAACTAAGTCTGTGGGGAAACTGATTGCAGAAGTGTGGATCTGACTAGTACCGTGAAGTAAGTGTAATGGTAACTTCACTTACATTAAAGGAAAAAGTGTTTAGAGGTCATGACTGAAATGAAAGCAGGAGTTTTAATCCATTCTTCATTTCCTTCAGAACTTGGATCCAAGAAGCAGCAGCACCGATTCCCCTGGAATTTACAAAAAGCTGTAGCAGATTAGTTATGGAGATCTGTCCTACTGTGGTGTGACTGAACAGAAATTTTTAGAACCAAAATTAGCAAATGATGAAATGTTTGCTTACAGATGCTTAAAACCGCACAAGTGTAATTTACAGACAGGCAATACACCTGGTATCAGAAAGTGCTGGAAAGACAGAACTGATCAAATTCTAAAGCACTGGACTGAAGGTGTATTATTCAGTAATGACACTCTGTTATTCCAAAAACTCCTGCTACTGGAGTTTCTGAACCATCACCTCATATTATCCTATTAGACTGCTGCTCTCTCCTTGCTCAGCTATAGCTATGAAGTGGAGCTGAAACTTACAGCAAACACTGACCCATCTCACCTCAGCTTATTCACTTGCTCTCTCTGCGTTGACAGACTTCATCCCATTATTATCATGTGAGCTCTTCCAGTTCTTCTGAGCTACCTGCATTTCTACAACACACAAGCTCTACTTCCCAATTAAAGTTCTATTTCAGTCCTAAAATCCTCTTGGCCAACATGCACACATAAATACATGTAAATGGGTGAAACCCCCACCCAAAAGTTAGTCCAGGAATGCATCAGGACAGACAATAATTTGTTGAAATCCAACACCCTGTCAGAAACATGCCCAGTTCCAAAATACCTGTTGTGACCCAGCAGGAGACAGGAGGCTCTGAGCAATAAACATCTTGCTGAAGCAAGAGAAGTTCTTCCAAAGTAAGATCAAGATGAAAGCAGCTTTCCCAAGACTGTCAAGGAAGTCTCCTAGCCTCATCAAACAACCAGAAAGTGTTAGACAAGATCTGTACAAGCTGCACTCAGACAATGGATTAAGGTCAGGGAGACTTAGGAAACTATGCCCCTGTTGATGCCTCTTTATTTTCTTCTCATTCGGGTCAACTACAGGCACAATCTAAAGCAGAACAGAAAGGCAGGTAGACAGGGGAGCACTGACAGTGTAGTAATGGTGTTCTTGATCTTTCTCTTAAAACAACCTAAAAATACTGTGGAGTGTGCATGAAAGAAGGGAAAACTGCTGCTCATGCTATCTAAAGTTAGCCTCTATTTGTTATTTTTTTAACGTCATCACCTGAAAGCTACTGTGTATTTTGTCCTTGCAAAAAAGTTCAGCCAAAGATAAAGGAAACAGGAGCACAACAAACAACGTAAAGACCTTAATATGGTATTTAACACAGGTAATCACAATTCAGAATCCAGTTCTGTAAACATTAGTATAATACAATCATAATAGTAACAGAGGCAGTGGAAGCAGTGCAGCAAACTGGGGATGAAGAGAGAGATGTTACAGAAAAAAAAATGTAGGGCCTTGCTCATACTAAAATTTAGCCAATGGCATAGTTTTTGTTTAACTGATACAGCCTGAAGTTCTGCCAGTAAAATGCAAAGAAAAGTAACAGAAGTCTAGAAGAAATAGCTGATGCTCTGCTAGTACTTGTCAAGTATGTAGTACTGAGGTGTTTGTTCAGTTTTTAGGAAGGAACTTTGAATGATTCATATGTTGATAGCTTTGAGATCCTCAGGATTCTTCAGAACACACCTTGATGTAAATCACCTCAGAGCCTAACATAAAGAAAATGGTCTTCACAAAAACCACCCCTGGAAGGACACAAGCCCAACACACCCTACTCCATGAGTAAAGCGCAGCAAATCCCAGCTACGAAGCAGTTTTCTTATTGCTGGTTTACTAAGGTGGTCTTATTACAGTTTTATTGTGGAAGGACAGTCCTACAAAATAGAAAACCAGAGCAGGATGAGCTGACAGGAGAAGAGAAATACTGCGGGTGGCTTGTTTATTATTGGTGTCATTTTTAATCTGAGGAAGAATGAGAAGTTCTGCTCAATGTCAGATGGAAATGGTTCAAAAGATCCTGACATCACAAGTAAAAGCATAAATCACTTCAAAATGTAATTTGAGAAAAAACCCTGCACAACTAATGTTAATGCAAGTGGTTGAGACCTGCAGACATATCTACACACAAATCTTGCATCTGCATTTACAAATTATAAGACCTCTGAACCAGGGAAGGGCAAAAAGCCTTTGGGCTGTGTCAAAAAAAACTTCATTTCTACTGGTGCATGTTCTCTTATAGCTTGAGAGAAGCCTCAGAATGGCATCTGGATCTGTCCACAGTGCAACATAGCTGTCACCCACCATCACGGGAGAAAGCACCACCCGTTGATGCCCAAGTACCCATGAAACATGCTTGTTTTCCATCCCTCAGAGTAGAAACCAAGCTGCAAACCTTGGAGACTCTCTTCACAGACCTGGACTCAAGCTTGCAGACACTGGCGCAGAAGTTTGATCTGCAGGCCAAGATGATGGAGAAGGAGCTGAGCCAGGATGCCCTGTGGATACCAGAGGGGAGGTGAGCACTGGGAGGGTCAGGTTGGTCCTGGTCCTGCACATGCAGGTGGTGCTGGTGTGGCTCCAACATGGGGCTGTACAGCCTGTGCTGACATATTTTATCCTTCAAGGCCTTGGAGAGACCTTAGAGCAGCTTCCAGTGCTTAAAGGGGCTGACAAGAAATCTGGAGAGAGGCTTTTTACAAGGACTTCTGACAGCAACAGGACAAGGGGGAATGGCTTTAAACTGTGATTCTATGATTCTTTCCCAGCTGAAATTGCTATTTATTGCAGAACTGGGTAATCTGAGGAAAAATTGAGGTTCCTTTGATAGCTGTTTCTTTAAAAACCAAAACTAACAGTCTCTGAAATATTTATGTGGTTTAAAACCCATGCCACTTCCAGGATAGTGGGGACATCAAGCCTGCCTTTGCATAACTTTATTCCACAGTAAGTGCAGGAAAAAAAACCCAAACCACCTCATTAACACCGATTACTTTCTTGGAGGCCAGAAGACTCCCATTTTTAGCTAGTCTTTCCATCTCTCGCTTCTGGAGCAGCTCTCGTTTTCCGCACACGGGGGAAGCCGGCTCTCGTCAGGCTGCCCTCCAGCGAGACCCGCGGGTAACGCTTTATGGCCGAAATGCCTGCTCAGACAATAGATGCTCAACGCCGCGGTTCCACACGGACCCGCAGTGCGCCGCCGGGCTGGGTGTGGCAGAGGACGGCTGTCACCCCGGCTCGGGCCGTCACTCCGGAGCGCGCCTGCCCCCCGCCGGCTGCTCAACCGAAGCGCCCTCGGTGTCTATCTCCCGGCAGGCCCGGCTCGGAGGAGGAGCGAACGGCAGCGCGGCGGGAGAGGCCTGGCAGCGCGGGACGGGGCGGAGCGGGCGGCGGGTTGGCGGACAGCGCTACGGCGGCGGCCATTGCAGGAGGCTGCGGCCCTGCCTGCCGCCGCCCCCCCGCCGCGGAGCTGCAGCTCGGTGGGTGCTGACTCCTTGCCGTGACCGCTCAGGGACCGGGGTGTGCGGGGGATGAGAGGCGGCCGCCGACGGGGAGCCCAGCCTCGTCCTTAGCTGTGCAGCGTTGTTCCTGTGCGCCGGGCCGCGGCTGTGGTATGTGGGGCTGCTCCGCCGCCCTGCCTCCGTCGCTGGGTATCCAGGGCCTTCGCCAAGCGTCCAGTGTTCTGTCTGCGTACTAATCGAGCTGAGCCCAGAGCAGGTACACATGGACTTAGTGGGTCTTTTTACCAAACTGCCTGGAAAAATGTCATTTTTTAAAAAATTAAGAGTTTGTTTTATCGACAAAGGGAAAGCAGAAACAATAAAACCCAAATTAAAATGTATTTGTCTCCATGTCGAGTTCCTGCGTGACTGAAATTGCAGCCTTTCTCTCAGAAAGACCTCAGCTCTTTTTGAAGGTGGCTGTTTCTGAGAAGCTAAAAAAAACTGATTAAGTTCCTATAACTTTAAAAAAAAAACAAAACAAAAAACAACCAAAAACCAGGTTGGTTTTTTTTTTCATCTTTTTTTGCTGTAGGTGTTTCTTATTTTCTGTATCACCTGTTTCTGGGCCAAGTGGAAAAGTCCTGTGGGGAGAAGTGATAGGAAGGCTGGATGATCCCCACCTTTTTAACTCATACAAGAAGATGCTGAAGTGTTGAATGCATTGGTTGATTTCTTGCTTATATTAACAACAAGTATTTTGACTTTTTAGTCTCAGCTTAAGCAAATGATTGAGGAGGATCACTCTTTCCTGTGGTGCACAGGGATGTTGTAGTTCACCTTCAGAACGTGCTGGAACCAAGTCTGTACCAGAGCAGCTTTTGATGTACTGAAAAAGTGAGCAGAAGGCCAAGGTAACTGTGATAACAGATCCACCAAACGTGAGAATAGCGTGTCACTAGTACAGAGTAAATGCTAGAAGAAATCTCACCACCTTTCCCCTCTCTCCTTACCACCTCTTTGCTATCCCCAAAGCATCTGTTACAACTCATAGGAAACTGGTAGGAAAATCTGCTACAGTTTCTCCATGTCTTCTGGAAAGATTTCTTTCTCTCAGAGGCTGATCATGAGCAAAAGTAACCACGTAAGGAGACTTCTTTAATGTTTTCATAAAGTAGCTGTAAAACTGAGCATTTTCTTTTATAGTCATGATGGGAAGTAAAATACATGTTTCTTTTTGCTTTCAGGTGCTGATGTTGTACTAGTCTTGTTCCTCTACTTCAAGCCAGTATGTCGAAGAAATCAGGGTCTCTCCTTTCCTTGTCTGACTGCCTCTGCCCAATCTGCATGGAGATCTTTGTAGAGCCCGTGACGCTGCCATGCAACCATACCCTCTGTAACTCCTGTTTCCAGCTCACAGTTGAAAAAGCCAGTCTTTGTTGCCCTTTTTGCCGGCGTCGAGTCTCTTCCTGGGCCCGATATAATGCCCGCAGAAATACTCTTGTCAATTGGGAGCTCTGGGAAAAGATCCAGAAGCATTACCCGAAGGAGTGTGAGCGTAGGATTAATGGACAGGATTTGGAAGAGGAAAGTAAGTAAAATGTCACTTGTCCTGGGATGTTTGTTGGTGGACTTTGGATGTTGTGAAACAAGAAGCTGTGCAGATGTTCATGCTAGCAAATGCAGTGTCAGAGCTCTCCTGTGAAAGGTGCTTGCAAGGCAGAGAAATGGGCACATGTGCTATTTTCATGTGTAGGTCAGAGAGGGAGTTATATTTGGTCATTTAAGTGCATATTTTTTCATGTGTTCTGCACAAAGTGTTGGTATGTGGCTGCGTAGCCTTGCAAAGCCTGTAAATCATTACAGATACAACTTTGGCTGTAAAATCTGTGAGTGGAGTATTTGCCTGTGTGTTTATTACTGGAGAATAAATGTAGTGGTTCAAAGTTGTTCACTCTTAGATGCTGTTAATTAGTGTGATTAGAAATTATAGGGCTTTAGTCTGTGCAAGAGTCTCTGAGCCTAAAATTGTGGTGTCAGAGAAAAGGAAGTGAAATCTGATTAATTCTTTGAAGAAGGATTTTTGGGGGCTGTTACATTGCAAGCTCCCTTGGGGGAGGCTAATTGGTAGATTGGCTCTATGACAAGTTGTGCCACTTGCTATATTAAGAAGTTCTTTCAGCAGCAAAAATCAAAAGACTTAAGTTATGGCCAGCATATGTATTTGCTTCATATGCAGTGCTTGGAAGATTGCACTGGCAGTTCTGTAACACAATGCTTTCTCCCACACCACTTGATGTAAGTCACATCATTCCTGTGACAGGGTATGGAAATAATCTTTTGTTAAAATATTTTCTTGTTGACTGTCATGATCTTGTTTAGTTCCTTGCTTAGTTTTTTCCTCTCTTTCCTCTCAATTAGTCTGTGTCCCCCATCCGCAGCACCAGCTGAGCAAGCCTGGGGAACTGAGGCAGGAATATGAAGCAGAGATTAGCAAGGTAAGTCTAAAAATATATTTAAAAGCATAAACGCTTTGTGTCTAGTTATTTTAATTGTTCCCACAAACGGCTGTAATGTTATTTAATGAAAAAGAGAGCTATATAAAAGGGCATTGCTGCTGCAAGAACACACTGGTCATTCCTGAGGTATAAATTAAATTTCTGTCCTTTATGGAAGAGGAGAGACTTCCTTGTGTGCAGAAGGGTTCTTTCAGGGTTAAAGCTTTCACTATCTTCAATCCTGGCGACAGATACTAAAATGTCTTTTATAGGTCCTCAGCTTATTTTGTACTAGCAAATTAAAAATTTTGGATTGTTTGGGCTTTGGTCTTGCACTGCTTCATTTTCCTCCTTAAGTAACAGACCACAATTAGGTGAGCTTTAGTAATATCTAGCTTTATTTTTTTTTACTTGATCACTCCCTGTTTTGTCTGAATTTTATTTGAAAATCAGAATAGATTTTTTAAGAAATCTTAATGGTTGCCTATTTAAGGATCCTTTTTCCAATTTAGACATGGCAGTAGTAAGAATTTGTCATGGTTTAAGCCCAGCCAGCAATCCAGAACCACGCAGCTGCTCGCTCACTCCCCCCATGCTTCCTCCCCCTGCTCCTGGAGGGATGGGGAGGAGAATCAAAAGAATGTAACTCCCATGGGTTGAGATAAGAACAGTCCAGTAACTAAGGTGTAACACAAAACCACTACTGCTGCCAACAATAATAATAATGATAGGGAAAATAACAAGGGAAGAGAATACAACCGCTCACCACCCGCTGACCAATACCCAACCCGACCCAAGGAGCGATCTAGCCCTTCCAGGTAACTGCTTCCAGTTTATATAGTGGGCATGACGTGCTGTGCTCTTTGGCTAGTTTGGGTCAGGTGTCCTGTCTCTGCTTCCTCCCAACTTCCCCTCCTCCCTGGCAGAGCATGAGACTCAGAAAGTCCTTGGTCAGAGTAAGCATTACTGAGCAACAGCTAAAAACATCGGTGTTATCAACATTGTTCTCAGGCTGAAAGTCAAAAACACAGCACTGCACCAGCTACTAAGAAGGACAAAAATGACTGCTACCACTGAACCCAGCACAGAATTATAGTTGGAAATAGCATCAAAATGCTCCTTTTCCTAACAGCCCTGTTGGTTGTAACAAGAGCAGAAGTTATGAGCAGAGGACTGTGGTATTCTCTTTTATGGTGGTTAGGGGATAAGATTGATTGGTAGCAACAGTACCGATGGTTAATGGAGATGGGGCCCAAAATCAGTGAAATAAGTAATGATGTCTGCTGCTAATCATAAGACATCAATGCATGATTTCTAACAAACTCACACTTAACATAACTTTTATAGTATTACAGTTTGATGCTCTTCTCTAAAGCAAATCTCCAAATTCCATGGCCCAGTTAAGAAAGCTTTATTCATTCTTTAAGTGTCCTTGTAGAGTTACTGATAACTGATTTATCAAGAGAGGATGTCTGCCTTAAGGAAGGTAGATTTAATGTTCTTGGTCTGCTGCTGCTGCAGACCAGGAAGCACATTTCATCTCTAGACCCATGTATTTGGAGATCTTAGATTTTGTTACTAACATTTTGAAAAGGTAATGGAATTTAACCTTGCAAGTGAGCAAGGTTAATGGTGTAGTCTTACAGGAACCAGAAGGTACGTCACTGTTATCAAACTGAAGACCTTACACACAGTGTTAGTTTCATTCTTACATCTTTGGAGACTTGTAATTAAATACTGGTTTTGAAGTGTGCTGTGGCTTTTTGAAGAGTGCATTCACATTTAAGGAGCATCAGCTGAAGGGTTCTGGAGTAGAGTGTGGTCCTACAGTAGTAACCAGATGCATTTAAAAAAAACTTTTTTAGGTGGAGGCAGAAAGGCGAGCACATGAGCAAGAGGAGAACAAAGCAAGTGAGGAATACATTCAGCGCCTTCTGGCAGAGGAGGAGGAGGAACAGAGATTGGCAGAAGAGAGGCGAAGGGAGATGGAGAAACAGCTGAAGCAAGATGAAGAGTTGGCCTGGCGGCTGAGTAGCAGTCTGGTGAGTTAGGATCAAGGGGGACAGTAGAAAACATTGCTACAGTGCAAGCAACTTAGACTTTTCATAGCAAAAATTAAAACTTTGAATGAAATAATTTTATTGTAATTGTAGTCGGAAGCTGTTGTTGGCCCCTGGCACTTTAGATCATTGATTGATTGTTAATTTTTGAAGAACCAGCAGGAGGGTGAAATACCCAAAACATTCCTGCCTGTGTAATATGCACTTGAAACATGTGCTCTGGATGTTTTAATTGTGAAACATTTTGAAACATTGGTTTTCCTCTGAATACTTCCTTTTCTTCATGATTTTAAAAATACTTGTTTGGAAGAAATTCATGTCTGTAACCTGTACTGAAAAAAGCAAAATGTGCAGTGAAAGATGAAAGTTTACCTTGTGTTTTGGGCTTTTTTGTTGTTTCTTATTTTGTTAATTTGTTTGGGGATTTTGGTTGGTTGGGTTTTGCTACCTGAAAATATGATGATGAAACCTGTGTATTTACGTGAGGAAAACCTCCTCCCATAATACTAGATGCAGGAAAGTGTACAGAACATGTATCATCTCTTATTCCATAATGATGCATTACTTACAGTTGTAGAATTCCTTGGACAAAAGTAACTAATTCTGCAGGAGAAAGTAGTTTTCTGGTTTTTCTCCAGTTTCTGTCATGTTTTGTTTCATGTAACACTATCTTGTCTGTCTTTGTCATTGAAGAATGATGATTCCAAAGGACATGGGCTCAGCAGTCCTGCACAAGCAGGCAGTGTCTCACTTGAAACGTCCCCAGCTAATTTGTGCAAAGCAAAGAGCAAACCAAGCAACTCTGAAGACATTCAGAAGTAAGCAATTAAAATTTTTCTCTTTAATTATTAGTCTTTTTCTTGGTATAATGCCCCTTATCTCCATCTGCTTCTTTGGAATCCTGTAGTCCAACTTTCCTGGATAATCTGGGGTAAATGTAAACCATTGCATGTTAAAACACCTCCTCAGAGGATAAAATGGAGGAGGATGGCACTTGGCCTTCTCTTCTTTTGCTTGTCAGAATGAACCGGAAGATCTCAACTAATGCAAAGTGCTGACAATTCAAGGGGAAAAGAAGAAAGTTTTAAAAGGTGTTTTCTTTTTACTTTTAAAGGTACCTGTCTCCAAAGCTTCATCATACATTGGGATCAGCATCATTCTCTAGAACAAGAGAGAGAGGCAGGAGTGGCTCTGGCTCTGCGGTAACTAGAATAATTTTGTTAGAAATCTCAGTGTTAATTATGGCTTAACTTTCCCCTTGCCTGTAGGATTGGCAATCCTGTATTCCCCTGGCACATCAGCACTGGCCAGTTTATCTTGCTCTTTTTGAACTACCTTTAGTATTCAAGATTTCTCAACATGGAAAGGGAAGAAACCATGCTTGACAGTCTGCAGATGTGCACCTACGGCTTACTTTGATGGTTACCTTATATAGCCTTACAGGCACCTTAACTGAATGTCTTCAGCGAGCTCTGGTTCCAACCAGTGGTGTCTAAAACTAGAATGATGGTTCTGGAGCTCACTGGAGGAGGTTGCGCTCTGATTTTTCATCATTCCATATCTCTGCCTTAGCTGTCCTGTTTGGCTTCAAAAGATGATGAGCAGGCTTGAATAGTTGATTTGAGTCATTGATGAGAGGAGAATGCGGCAGTTGTGTTTTCAGTCCTTTAGCTGGACTTCTGCAGCTTTTCTTCAATATTTTCTTTATAATAATATACATTAATTATGTATTTTTATAATAATACATTAATTATGGTTGGTTTTTTTTTAAAAGAAGAATCCAAGTTAATACCCCAGAGTAGTTATGAACAACACAGCGGTGAGAAGTGAGAGTTGCATTTTATTCATACCCATTGGCTTTTGCTAAATTTATTTTGTTAGTGGTCTCTCCCTTTTTTTCAGGAGACCAATGGCAATGAAGGCAGCAGTTCAGCATGGCAAGATGAGCAAGAGGAAATGCCAACGTTGTCTCCACAGCTGACTGGTGTCAATAAAGATTCCAGTGCTATGGATTCATTTTTGGAATCGTGCATGAACTATTTCAGTACCTCGGCTTCGGGGGAAACTGCTGCTGTCAAGCAGGAAGAAACACCAGGAACAAATTGTGTAGGAGAAGAAATTCCAGATGCGTTGCATGGAATCACAGAAAGGGAAGGCTCTGGAACAGTTCTTAGATCTAAAGGAGAAAGTGATGGAGGTGACTCAGACAGTGGCAGTTTAACACATGTAGGAAGCATAAACCTTAAAAATGCTGCTGGAGCTCATACCTGTATTCAATCAGCAGCAAATTCTGTGGTGTCTGACAGCACAAGTGTGGTATGTGACCTCATGAAGGTGGCTAGACACTCAGATGAAGAGAAGCCAGAGAGCCTGCAGAACACTAAGAAGACTCCAAAAAGAAAGTTGTTGGAGCCACCAGCTGAACAAGTGTTTGACTTTTGTGTGCTTGATAAGAGAAGAAGAACTTTTCCAGAAAGTCTGGAGGAGCAAGGGAAGCAGATAAATGATTTTAACTTGCAAATGCAGAAAGCCTTTGAGCAGGAAATCTATGAAAGACGTATGCAAGAGGAGCAGGACAGGCTTCTGGCTCTGCAGCTGCAAAAACAGATTAACAAGGAGGAAAGGACACTTAATCGACAAAAGGGCTCTCCAGATCAGTATCTGCTTCGCACCAAACCACCTCAGTTGATGAAAGACTCTCCTGCTAGAAAGGGAAGTTCTAAGGTGGCAAAAGACTCAAAGGTATCAAAAAAACAGGCTGAAACAAATCACCGCAAAACTCGCAGAGGTTCTTGCAATGAAAATTGGCAGTCACCTGCCAGAGCCCGGATGAAATCACCCAGCATCAAGGGAGGAAAGGTGTTGAATTGTGTGGTTAATACCAATGATGCAAATGATATTTGTTCACTACCTAAGAATAAACAAAAGACGATCCTTCAGATGTTTAAAAGCCCTGTAGCAGAGTAGATCAGCAGAACCACAGGCACGTCGTGGAATGAGAATTAAAGCTGTGGTAATGCTTTCTCCTGTGTTGGGCAAGGCTTCCTGCGAACAGTTGTAAAATTGTTGGGGGGGGGGGGGGGAATCACTTTAGGCCACAGAGAGTTCTGTATTTTGAGGAGTTTTAATAATTTACGCCCCCAGTCTTTAAAAAAATGTAATTGTTCTTTTCTTGATTGCAGCTTATTTTCTAGCAGTTATATTTACATAATTCTGAATGTGAATACTGTTAGTGTTTAAAACCAAAAATAACTGATGGTCTGATCTTAAAATGAGAGTTTGGAGCCTTTTGTGGAAAGGACACATGTTCCACAGAGGTTAAGCTAAAGCTAAAAAATGAGTCTGTATTTCCAGTTGTCTGCCAGCTGCAAGGTTGAAGCTTCAGTCAACACAACCACTGGTCTGTTTAATTGAAGCATGTTACTGGAATTTAGGCCATTTGTTGAATGGCATTGTACACACAACAGGTAACAAGAGTATAACTGGACAGCCAGTCTTGCAGGTACAGTTTTCATACACTTTCTTAGAGAAAGTTCTCATTCCTCTTTCTTAGGGAAAGAGGAAAAAAACAGGTCACTCCCCCACTGCCAAAGCCAAGGATTTTTCATAAATGCCAACAGTATAAGTGGTTATGGGCTTATATTTGCCTGTTTGTAGAGGTCACTTATGCAAATCTGGCACTTACTGTCATTAGGAAAAGATACTTTTGTTGTCTTACTGCTAGCGTTCTGCAGCTTTATTCTTGTACAGTAGTATTACCTATATTTAGTGCTATTTAATTTTTATACTCAAACTGTTTTGAGTTTGATTAAAAATGCATAATATTACAAAAATGTAGTTCAGAAGACAGTTATGATGGAGAAAGTTAAACCAAAAGGGGGAGGAGCAGCTGAAGTTGTCAGAAATGACATAAGTGTAATTAAAGAGTCACATAACTACCATGCCTGGCTGGAACTAACACAATTCAAATGAATTACCGCTTAGAGTTGTGGGGAAGCTGAGGCATGGAGGAGGTTGAGGCTGGTGAAGAGCTTGACCAGCTGCTACTCAGCAGAAGTATTCTTGCTCGATTGTTTTATCTGTTGCTATTATAAAGACATCGTTTGAACTTTCTTTGCTTGTAATGAGATACTTTTCCCCTTTCCATGTTTAAAAGACAGCAAACTACAACTGCATTGCTGAAGTGTTTGTGCTAGTCACCAATGTTAGCAGATGTTTTAAATGTGTTCTTTTTTTGAACCTCGGTAGAGGTGATGATCTTTAACTTGGTTCTGGGAAATTAGTAACAAAATCCTTGACAGCAGTATCTTCTGATGTTTTAAGTTTTAAAAACCAACAAATCCTGAAATCTCATTGAAAGCACAAACAGCACATCAAGCAAAATTATGAATTGTGCTGTTTCTTTGCCTGCATGTCTCTAGTAATGGGAGGGTTTCTCATAAAGGAATGATGTGTTCTGATACGGTTTTTGAGAAAGTTACAACTGGAGACCAGCTGCAAGTCATTCAGTTTGCCTCTTCCTGCCTCAACTGTTGTGCTGGAAGCAGTATAGATCTGTTTCTGTTTAATCTTTACCTTTGTTCGGGTTGTTTGCTGTCTTACCCATGTAGTCAAATACAATCATTAATTAAAATATTCTTTAAGGCAGAGGTAGTGACTGTTTTCATGCTAGTGACACTTGTTCTTTCCAGTCATGATAAGCACCTAAGAAGTAAACTCTCCATTTTCAAAATATATGAGGAGAAAGCATTTTTTAAGTCTGTTCAGCTTTGGTTTACAATCAGTTTCTGAAGTCTAATCAGTAGTTTTAACTTGCTCAAAAGATGGTACCTGCTCTGGTACTGCTTCTGAGAGTTATTGCTGATGGGTGTAATGGGTTGTTCAGGATTTCAGAGCAGGTTGGGAATGATTTGGAGAGGTGCAGGGTAGTTCCTGGTCTCTTCCCACGCAATGTTGCCCCTGCAGCCACCTGATGAGCGTGCCTCATGCAGCTGTCTCTGCAGCTTTAAACACTTTGTTTCTATGGTCCTGGCAGTCCTGCTGGAATGCTGGCCCTCTTAGGCTTTTTGCATTTTACTCTTTGGTCTTGCACAGACTTAAGTTCTTGCCATTGATAGGAAATCCTGCTGCTGTGATTCCATTGACAATAAATAAAAAAAATTACATAAATTAGTCATTTCAAAGTTCTAAATAGTACAGGAGTGTATTTTGGTGTGTGTGTGTATATATACAATGGTGTGTTTTTCCATCTTACTGGATTTTGTCCTCAGTGTAAGAATGATGTCTTACTTAAGAATCATTGTTTTTATTAAGTAGAATGGAAAAAAAGCAAAGTTAAAGTTAAACGTTAACTAAAACCCAACTATAACTTCAAAGTGTACAAAACCTATGATCTATACCAGCAGCCTCATCTGAGGTGGGTTGCTGCAAGCTTTTGGCTCGCAAAGATAACCACATTCCTCACTGCGTGTGCGACATAATAATCCTCACCAGGTACCTCTTTGGCTTGTCCTTTTAGATGTTTCCTCATGGGGCATTTCAGTATCACTGTTTGGTTTGGGTTGGAAGAAACTTTAAAGCTCATCTAGTTCCAAACCTCTGCTATGGGCAGGGACACCTTCCACTATACCAGGTTCAACCTTTGAACACTTCCAAGGATGGGGCAGCCACAGCTTCTCTGGGCAACCTGTGCCAGGGCCTCACCACCCTCACTTCTTCCTAATGGCTAATCTAAATTTTTGCTCTTTGAGCTCAAAGCCTTTCCCCTTGTTCTGTCACTACATGTCCTTGTAAAAAGTCTCTCCCCAGGTTTCTTGTCAGCCCCTTTAGGCACTGGAAGCTGCTCTAAGGTGTCTCTGGAGCCGTCTGTTCTCCAGGCTGAACAAGCCCAGCTCTCTCAGACGGTCTCCATGGCAGAGGTGCTCCAACCCCTGGAGCATCTTTGTGGCCTCCTCTGGACTAGAGCAGCTCCACGTCCCTCTTATGTTGCTGCACCCAGAGCTGGACGCAGGGCTGCAGGCGGGGTCTCACCAGAACAGAGTAGCGGGGGAGACTCAACCGGCTAGTCACACTCCTTTTGATGCAGCCCAGAACACGGTTGGTTTCTGGGCTGCGAGCGCACACTGACGGATCATGGTGAGCTTCTCATCACCCAGCATCAAGTGAAGGAATGCCGTGTACGATGAACTCGCAGTGCTCAACGCGGCGGAAGTTCGCGCCGAGCCGCGGCAGCATTTGAAAAGCCGCTGAGGCGGCGGGGCGGGCCGCGTTGCCCGGGCAACTGCCTCCTCCCGGGGCTGTTGAGGCAACAGGGCGGGTCTGGCCGCGTTGCCGCGGTAACTCCCGCCCCTCCCGCAGCGGCCCGGAGAGGCGCCTCCGCGGCGGCGGGCAGAGGAAGGGCGCGGGCGGGTGTCGCGCCTGCGCAGAGGGCGCGGGCTGGCGGCGTGCGTGTTGTTGTGCGGCGGCGGCAAGATGGCGGCGCACGGGGGCTCTGCGGCCTCCTCGGCGCTGAAGGGGTTAATCCAGCAGTTCACCGCCATCACGGGTGAGGCACACGGAAGCCGGGGCCCGCTGATCCGCGGCCGTGACTGCCGCCGCCGCTGCGTGCTTAACGGGCGGCCTCCGTCCGGCCCCAGTCGCCGCGTCAGGGGGCGGCTGCCCCGTTGGGCCGGGGGCGGGAGGCCGGACGGGAGGAGCGGGTCATGGCGTGAGGCGCTGCGTTGGGCGAGGCGGAGCAGCGCGGGCGGGCGGGCGGCCCCGGGCACGCTCCCGCCCGTCTCTTGGGGGTCTGCCCGCCACCACCGCCGCGGCCTCCCTCGGGGCGAGGGGGCTGGTGACGCCCGGGCCTGTCAGCGGGCTCGCTCCGGGGCCCGGCTCGCCGCGGCGGTAGGTGCCCGAGCCGGGCAACCGCGGTGCCTCCGCCCTGTGTGCTGTCGTGTCGCCCTCGCTTTTAGCGGCGGCCTGGGGTGCTTGGTATGCCGAGCTACTCGGTGGTGAGGGTGCGGGTGCACGTTCTCCTTCCCTCCCGGCGATGCGGTCCGTTCCGCCCCGGGAATCGCGTCCCGCCTCTGCAAATAAAGCTGACGGCCGGGAGGGAGCCTGGAGCTGACCGCTGAGTCCGCGTTAAAGACTATAAAAATAAATCAGTCTTAAAATACGATCAGGTTACTGAGAAGTTTTATGTTAGTTTTCCAAGGAAAACAGCTAGTCACTTTTAAATTGAAGTTTGCGTCAGGTGATCATTGCTGCTTTGGCTTGCGTACTATGAGCGGTTGACCCACTTTGTGTTTAACCGGCTTCACTATAGTTCCCCCTTGCTTATGGCACTGCATATCAAATACTAAAGGAGTGTTTAATAAAACATCTTTGGCATTTTGTGTTGTTTTCTTTGGGTTTTTTTGTTTGATTTGGTTTTGGGGGGGGGGGTGGTTTGGTTTGTTTTTTTTTTTCCTTGATTTACATGAAACTGTTTTTAAATTGTTTAACCAGCTTAATTTTGGGTTGTGTCCTTATACTCGGGCTTGGATGCACTTAAATCCTGAACAGAGATGTTGAGGCTGTTTAGTACGCTGTGAACATCCTGTGTCAACTGGAAATTATTAATCACTCAGCTGTCCTTAAAGAAGGCTTTTAGAATAAACTCTGAACAAAAAGAACCTACAGCAAATACCTTTTCATTGTAGTGCCCATGTGTGCCTTGTGGTTTCTTTTGGTAGTGCCTGAGATACTTGCTAAAAACTGATCTGGAACAGGAAGTCACGATAGTTTACCCTTCCTGATGGCTTTCTGTGCTTGTATGGATGGTTTATACCAAACACAAGAGGACCCTACCTTTCTGCTTTCACAAAAGAAAAAAAAAAAAACAAAACTTGCTGGGCTTTACCCATCCACTATTAGAGTTTTGGAGTTTTGTTTTTCCATTTTAACAGAATTAAGGATATATCTGAAAGTGTGTTGTGTGGAGCTTATCTTGCTGGTAGTGGCATGATTTGACAGGTGCTCAAAAGCTCAGTGGTTTGTGTTAGCAGCTTTCAACTTAGAGTTGTAAGTATATAAATTCATCCCTGTCTGTGGTGAAAAAGGCTGAATATATACAGCAGTTTGATTCTCATGTAGGTGATAGTGAGTTATAAGTAGAAATAGTTCTTGATATGTTTATCTTAACTAGATGGCAGAATTGTGTTTCTTTGGTGCTCTCATCCAGAAAAGTATTGCTAAGAGAATGTAGCTCCTGTGTATCTTTTCTGGTGGAATGATGGGATGTCTTTGAAGTTTGATTTGAGACTTAAGAAATATTTAGTATTTCCTGTTTGCTGGCATAGGCACTGAAATCATGCATACGATGGCAGTTTCCTTAGGAGTTATGAGGAACAAGTACAGGCACTTTCTGTGTTGGTGTCTCTAAACAGCAGAGGGCTGCGTGTAATTTTTCTTCTAGCTCTTCTAAATTAATGACTTTGCATTACTGACTGTATATTGAGGGTGTAGGGTGCTGTGCATATAATAGCTATATGCCAATATTGTTTAATTGCTACAGTTGACATTGAAATGAGCTGAAAATAGTTTCTTGAGATGTTACTAGTTTTTATTTTGTGCTTTTGTCATCTCGATTAAGGTATTCAAATACAGCTGTCACCTGAGCCATGGCAAGGCTGATTAGGTTTTCTGGAAACCAGTTCACTCAATCAGTTTGGCTTTCTCTGTAGTTTAGGGTAATTTCTGTCATTTAGAACTGATTTATCTCAACAGTTTCCTAGGGTATTTTCTGTTCAAACTAGAGCTTCTTGAGTGTTTCTAAGAAAAATCATAGAAACATCCAAATGTGTTTTGCTAAGAGTGATATTATCTGTGACTCTGATGGTGGAGAAAGTGTTTTCGTCATTTTGGTGACTTGCAGTGAACCTAGTAAGAACTTCTACAGGTCTAAAAGCTGCTCCCAAACTGGTTCAGCTGCATTTTGCCACTCTTTCTCTCTGCCAGCCTTCCCGTATGAAAATAAACTCTTCGGCAGCCCCACTGCCTATAGAGGCAGATGCTGCAGTAAGTAGACATTTAAGGGGCTGGGTGCAGGAAAGCTTCCACTGATGAGGGTGCTTCTGTTGATGGTACGGTTTTTGAGAAGTTGCGAGGTAGAGGCTCTAACTCCTTCTCGGGAAGGAGTTACAGGTGATGTTAAGAACTACATTCTGAACAGCAAGAGTAAGATAGATTTAGGTGTACTTTGGAGAGATTTTAATAAATGTTAGTCATTATACAAATAATTGTGTAGACAAGTACTGCTTTCTCCCTCTTGGCTCCCGTCTGTTCCTACTCTCAGCCCTCTGTGGACTGAGCTTTAGCTTGTTTGTTTTTGCCTTTCAGTGCAATCAGTAAAACAGAGTATCTTTTCTTCCATCTCAAAATGTCTAAGTGGGTAAAAAACACTTTAGTAGCAGGTATAGTATTCACCCTGTTAAAATGTGAAGTCAGGTTTTCATGGGTTTTGTGTGTTTGCCTGCTGGTGTTTGGAAAATTGAACCAGGTCTGATTCAACTGAAAAAGGTCTGATATCTAGAAAGAAAGGAAACCAATTCTAAACCCCCTCAGATGGCTTTCAGTAAGTTTTCTCTTGATGGCAGGAAAAAGTCTGCCTGTCCTACATGCAGGCA